ATTGAATATCCGCTCATCAGCAAGATAAATGGACTTCAAAATTCATTTATCACAATAGAACAGACTATTACCCGTGATGGAAAACACATGTACTAATTTTGAGTCTCTTATCCATGAAGCTCTGCAGTGTCCGCTCAATCTAGTTTGTTAAAATTTCAAGCATTAATATCGAGTCAGAGCATCTTCCGAAGATATATGAAACTTATAAGAGCCATTATTATTTCCATCTTAACAAGATTTATCATCAATTTATTTTTTGATATTCTGAACAAAAAATTACTCCAAACAATTTCCGTAGTCTACATTCACTTCATATCAACAAACACACCAATAAAGGAAATCATTTAGATCCGTTTCACTAATTTTATCAGAAAATCTAAGAAACAAGCTATCAAACACACACCACATGGATACACCCAGAAGAGGGTTTGATCTTAGATTGCATGATAATCCTAACATGCATAAAACAATTAAATAAAACATATAATCATACACGAATTCATTTAGAAGAATGAATCAAGTTGAAAATGGTGCAATTGTTTACCTTAAAGCAGCTATAGATAGTGGTCTAATGACTGTTACATCAAGAAATTACTAGAGATGAAATTATTGGAGTTGACCTGGATTTCATATCAGCCACAAAAAAGGTTCACATTGCATGATGCACAGTAGTCGAGGCTTGCCTAATCAACTGAATATGAAAGACTTTAACACGACTAGAAACATGATTTGAGGCCTCGGATAGCGTTGCACATAGACAAAAGTCATCTTAGTGTGATTTCTAACAAATCAACATTGATCTTTGTGCACCATGCCTTTACGTGAAAACAGAGTGCTCTAAACCCATTTTTTCGAAGATATTTTCCTTCTCTTTGGGATCAAACATCAATTTCAATTATTCGATACACGGCTCATTGGAATAGAAAAAGGGATTGGATTCAAATACAAGAAATTAAAGAGGAAAAACACCAGATAAATAAGAAAAATACACAATGGTTTTAAGAAACAAAATCTATTTTTTGAGGTGAACAATTTCGTGCTGTTTGTGAGAAACCATACCAAAATCATGAGAGTAACGCATGTGAGTAAAAATATAAGCCAGAAAAAATGTGTGGAAATGGATCAAACAGTGATGAAAATCTGAGAAGTAGGTATGAATATCCTGTTGTTTTGACGAATGGAAACACTTGAAGANAATTCTCAAAGCTTCTACTCCTACTTGTCCAAGATGGTAGTAATGGATATCAAATTTTAGTTTTACTAATCCAATAGATGAAGATAAAATCGAAGGTCATCAGGAATGGTGATATTGTTAACACAAACAGCAGCTAAAATTGCTATTAATATACAATATTTTACTGATGAACATCGCCATGAGGCAGTTTCTAATGAAAAAATGACATGCAATTCCGTCTGTCCAAGATGATGGAGGCTAGAACAAAGCCGAGGGCTCAACTCAAATAAATCATGCATTACATTCTCCCATCACGTAGCCAAACCACCTCTTGACCCGCCACATAAGGGAGGGAAGACCTTATAGGCTGCCAGCGTATTGTTAACCCTCGAAGTGAAGTCCATGAACCTAACTAGCTATTGGTGAAGTGAAAAGTGACACGCAAGGGAAACGAAGAAACAAAAGGCTTGCCTAAAGATTATGAACCATTTTTCTTATTAGGTTGGCTACAGGCAATTAATAAAGGGCACATGGGCAAATGAATAAGGTGTGATTCTCAATCGAATCTATTAGAAGATAATAAACAAGGAGCCAACATTTGTCATTCTTCCAAAAAAACCAAATTATCCCAAAGCCTAGAGAGAAATATATAAATACCCCATTATTTGATAAAGAAAGTCATGCAATTCAAATATCTCCCTCTCAAATAGCTATTTATCTTTTAGCTCCTATTTGAGTATTAAAACTAGTGAATTGAGGAAGTGAAAATCATAGTTAGGTAAGTAAGATTTGTTGATCATACTTGTGTCATCAACAATTTGACAATGTCTATGGGAAACATTTGAACGAAGTAGACCACAAAATTTTGTTACATCTGAAAAAAGTTTGAATTCTCAGAAGATTTGAAATCACGAGTCAAAGTGAATAGAAATCGAAAGAGATGAAAGTGTCAAAGGTGGAAGTTGGAGAATGTAGTGACTGTCCACCACCCAGTGACGTAAATCCCAAGAGACAAAGAGAGGAGACTCCGGCGGAAGTGCAAGTCGGCATCTCTCTCGCATAGCGTCGCCATTCAAGAGATGGTCAAAAATTTGAAAGCTTTTATGGCGGAGAATGCTTCTCTGCACGCGAAGATAGAAAATGCAAAGGCAAGTGCACAAGAAAAAATTGAAGAAAATAAAAGTAATGTAGTTAATAGTGCTTTTCGTGATAATACCAACGTACATGCATAAAACACATGGGACAGTATGTCAAAAAGGCCGCTTAAGTGGGGTCGCAGGAGCAGACCGGCCAAAGAAAGATTTTTGAAGGAGGTTT